GACAAGCCTGGCTGCAGGACATGGTGAAGCACGGGAGGTTTTTGCTGAAGTACATCCCGATTACCGAGCAGTCGGCCGACTTCTTGACGAAGGCGCTGCATTGGGATCACACTTACATTTCTTGTGCATAGGAGAACTACAATATGTACGGACACTTCCACTGGGGCACTTTTTGCGACATTCATTAGGGAGCCTCACTTGGGTCTCTTTGTTCTGCACACTGCTCCCGCCCAGGTAGCAGTGTCTGATCATGTCGCTGCGCCGTACTGCGGTCGGTCTCTCACACAAGTGACAGTCCTGTGGCACTATCGTCTTGGTCCCCTGTCCGCTCCACACCTCCGTAGTATATCTAGCCAGCATCTTGTCTCCGATCTCCCACGCGTGTTTGCGTCACTCCCTCCTTCGCCTGCACCATTGTGCACCCCTTGCGTCGAGGGTAGGTTGCGCGCCACTCCTCATTCCTCCTCCCTTCACCCGGCCACCGCTCTTTCTCCCCACCTAGACGTCTGGGTCCCCGCCCCTTGCCTAGGCTACAGAGGGAGAGCCAGAGAGGGAGAGCTTCTTTTTGGTGGCCGTTGACGACTACTCCAGCTACACCACTGTGTTCCCCCTGGCGAAGAAGTCCGATGTGACTTCTACGCTCATCAGGTGGTTGCTAGCCACTGAGACCACTCGTGGCCGTCGTGTCAGTTACTCCGACCCTGGGGGTGAGTTTCGCTCTAGCATTTTTCGTGGATTCTGAAGCGAGCAGCGCATCACCGAGTCTTGGACGCTTCTGGAGTCCCCACAGCAGAATGGGGTTGTTGAGCGCCGCATAGGCTTGGTCATGAAGATCGCCCACACCTCCATCATCCACGCCCGCGCGCCCCATTTTCAGTGGCCCTAAGCGGTTCGCTACGATGCTCACCAGCTGAACCTCTCGCCTTGTGTCTCATGGCAAGGGGCTTCACCGAACAGTCTTTGGACCAAGTCCCCTGGTGTTGTGTCAAAGTTTCGTGTCTGGGGATGCCTTGCGCTTGTTCGGGACACCTCTGCGGACAAGCTCTCGGTCCGCGCCCTCCCCTGTGTCTTCCTTGGTTTCCCAGTGGGCTCCTTTGACTACACCTTTTACCATCCACCCCTCCACCACTGTCTTGTTGCGATCATGGGCCTTGTGCCCTTGCACAACAGTAACCAGCCACATGCATGGGCCTGTGGGGTCACACGCGCATGCCAGGACCCCACGCGCGGGTCTTGGCAGTCGCGTGATTTTTTACCAGCGCGAAACTGGTCAAAGGGCCCAATAAACGACTCAAGCCCCACCTCCTGGCACATCCGACTCACACAATGAGCAGTCATGAAAACGCATGAACAAAACGTGAACATCATGAACGAAACATAAGCATTCATGAACGAACATGTACGTACATGAACGAATATCAAAATACATGAACGCTCATGAAGCTTGCACGAACAGCATGCAAACACTCTTGACTAACATGCGAAGCCTCATGAACAAACATGAACATTTGAAATCCACGGACATTCATGAAACAACACAAACAAGACGAAAAAAATTCAAACAATCATTAAAACGCATAAATGTAACCTCACAGGGCCCACGATATCAGTGCAAAAGATCATGATTACCCTGATTTCAGGATATTTTTATATATTTGCCCTGTAATGTCAGGATGATGTTGCTTTCTACCCTGTTACTTCACGATAATGTCGAACGTGCATGTGTTCGTTCCCCCCCCATAATATGGTCCTGCCTTGGCACGAACGATCCTCTGCCACGTTGCACATTTATTTATCGCATGCACCGTGAGTTGCAATATTCTCTCGTTAGCACACTGCATTACCAATCAGGGTCTTGTAATTTGTTTTGCCGTGAGATATCAGGATAAGGCCTACAGGTACCCTAAAACTTCAGGATAGCCATATAGATATGCCATGAAAAATCAGGGCATTTTTTACCTTCTCAAGCGTTGCCCAGAGGCCTCAGCATGCCCTAAATCCTAGCACAGGCCCTGCAACCTCATACTGAAATGCACATAATCCATGAATTGCTAAGACGATCCATAAACCGCAAATCCCAAAATGAAAAGCACACAAATGTGCATTCCACACAACACAAATTGTCTTGGAACAAATACATTCGAATTTCACCTTGTTGGACAAATAGGCGACAGGTTGACGCACATATTATATTTTGCACCCAACAGTGCAGACCAGGCCCCCACAAATTAGGAAAATTACGCTAATTGGCCCTTGAAACATTTATTTTCAGGGTTTTTTTTTGCCCCTAGACTGATTTTTCAGTTAGGTTTCTTGTACCAACACTGAAATTTCAGTGTATGTTTGGCAGCGCTGATTTGAAACCACACCATCATATTGACAGATATTTGGGACCTAGAAGCTCTAAGCACACCTTTAATCACACTAGGTAGTCCCCATGGGGTCACCTCCAAGGGTCCTTGGGTGCCTGGTAAAACCAGCCCCAAACCAAGGGTCCGTGTTTGTAGAGGGATTTTCCTTAGTGTAAAAACGGTCGTGTGCACTAAGAGCATTCCCAAGCTCAATAGCGCAGCGTTGACGAACGATATGTGCGTGTGCAGAAAAGCTCCTCGCGTCAATACGTCGATAGAGCAATTTTCATTCACCAAAGGATTGATTACAACTTCGCACAAGCATGCAAATATAGTTCGCCTAACACACATGCAAAGGAAAATAGCAAACGGTTGATTAACTGCATTTCTAGGACTTCGCCTTGCTGTCTCGAAAAACGGTTGCCAAACTTCTGCTCCATTTGGCTTGATCCGAGTCCTTGAAATAACTGTCGTCAAGTTACATGTCTGCCAATTGCCCCTGTTGACTCCTCTCGCGAACATTCATGAACGCACAAGTAGAATCATGAACGCTCGTGTGGGAATTCCCGTTTTCCCACTGTTTAGAGTTGTAAAACGGATATTTCCGTTTTGTACCTGTAATTCGAACTGTTCTGTTAGGCGCGCTGCTTTCTCGCGAAAGTTCTATGTGCCACGTCACAAAAAGACATGCTCGAGATTCAGTTTTACAACTGAAATCTCGAGTGAATCCCGAGCACCCCTCGGGATCTCTCGGCACCTCTCGCAACCCACGCGCACCCCTGAGGGCGCGCCGTCCTGACGTGGGCAGGGCGATAATTATCGCCCTGTCTTGTAGCGATCGTGGGCCTTGCCACGCTTGCTACAGTTCGTAGGCACACGCGCGGGCACTGTGAGGCCACACGCGAAATCAGGACCCACGCGCGGTCCTGATTCTCTCGTGATTCTCGCTTGACCAGCGCGAGATATTTCGAGGGGCACAAAACACCCTCGCTCCCCTCATGAACACAAGAACCAAAACAGAAACAAACATGAATGAAACACAAACAGATGAGCAAACATGAACGCACATGAACTAACATGTAAACACATGAACGCTCATGAAGCTTGAGCGAACAGCACGCGAATTGACATGAACGCGCGAAGGCTCATGAACACACATGAAGACTTGGAACTTCACGCACATTCATGACGCAACACGAACAACACGAAACACACGCGAACAGTCATGAAAACGCATGAATGCAACCTCACACCAAAATCCACATAACTCATGAACCGCCAAGGCGATTCACAAACCGTAAGAGCCAAAATTAAAAGCACACAAATGCGCATTCCACACCACACAAAATACCTCAAAACAAATACCTTCAAATTTCACATCACTCGACGAATAGGCGACAGGTTGACGTGCAAAATACGTTTTGCACCCAACACATCAAACCTATTTCTGGTTGTGAAAATGCGTGGATTCTTGGGATTGGCAAAAAAACTCTCAAAACATTTCTGCCGTCAGCGCCAATCACGGGGAAAGGAATATTCATTGTACCTGGCTGTACTTGGCGTTGCACTTAACTTTCACGTGCTGCTGCGGAAGTTGTACCAACACTGATTGGAAAGTTCTTCATTATAACAATAACACTGAATTTTCAGGGTTTTTTTTGTTTTTTTTTTTGTTTTTTTTGTTTTGTTTGTTTGTTTGTTTGTTTGTTTGTTGTTGTTTTTTTTTTTTTTGTTTGTTTGTTTGTTTGTTTTGTTTTGTTTTTTTTTTTTTTTTTTTTTTTTTTTTTTTTTTTTTTTTAACGGACGCTGAGAAAAAGTGTTTTCCCAGGGATCAATACTCACAGAAAAGCGTGGCCCAAAACCAATCCGGGGGCCTGGTATAGACATGAATCACAAGGGAAAAAACATTTAGACATGGTGCAACGTACAAAGCAGATCAACACAACAACCACTAGTCACTTGTGCGCGATACTTTGTGAAAACACTAGGCGAGGGATGTGCTCGCGATGCAGGGTGAAGACTTATCTTTCCAGCATTCAACAAAGGTACGGTAAGTCTGAAGTACTCTGAAAAATCAAGGTTCCTAGGAAATCGTGTGAAATTTCAGACAATCAGACTAATATAGTCTGATCATATTAGCCCTCATATTCATTATGCATCAGATTAACACAATGCAGTACATCTTACGAACAGAGAAGACTATACCCAACAGAAATCATGGCACACAAATGAACTTGGACCCTACACTACCAACACACTTCTTCTCATTGTACACATAATATTTTGAGATTGCTCCATTTGCAGCTCCACCATAGAAACTGTAAGCACCCGAGCATGTCAATGATGGTGACACTGGTTTTTGCCTGCCCTTCTTGCATATGCCAACAACGAATGGCCAATACTCTGCTCTTAGGCAAACCTGAAACGGTAGCATCACAACAAAGAAAGCAAAGATGTATTGAGAGAAAAAAAATAGCAAACACTCAAAGAACAAAGCAGGGCAAAAAGTTGGAAAAACACTCTCTGGTATATGAGAAATGACTCCTTGCCCCCTCACACATCAAATATACATTCGGTTCACCCACCAATTTTCAATCCATTTCCTTCCCATCTCTTGCAACCCCAACCCAATTCCCCTCCACCCCTCACCTGCACGCCAGTGTTGCTGCCAACAGCAGAGGCGGATACTGGGATGACACTCGAGCAGATGAGGCCGGGATTGTTGCGGTACAGCTCAGCCCAGCGTGTAGCGTTCTCCTTCCCAGCCCTCGATGGGTCATCCTCACTCCCCGCCACCTGCAGCAGCAGGCGCTCACACGTGTCCTGTGCTGTGAGCATGCCATATTGCAGGCACCGAGGCACAGTGTAGGCGAAGGTGGCGTTGCGCTCGATGCACAGAGAGCGGCCCGCCTTGAAGGGCTCAGAGCAGTTGAGGCCGGGATTGAGTGTGGTGAGGTTGCTAGTGGTGAGGAACAGCTGGGCGCTGATGGACCAGCATGTGTCGCCCTGGAGGGTGGAGCAACGGGAGAGAAGTCACAGGAGCCTGATGTGAATGGAGTGCAGCTTTACTACGTGACAGTCTTGCAGAGCTAAGCAAAGTGGAGTGGGGAATATAGAGGAATGATTGATGAGATTCCATACAACAAAGAAAATATAAAGGGCTAATTCTCACACTGAGCGTGTAGAAGAACGCAGTGCAGGGAACGAGGAGAGGACTTCCCAGCTGAAGCACCATGTTACGAGGCAATGCATGATTGCAGTCAATGCCCTGCAGTGAAGAACGCAGGAAATTTTTCAATCAACCATTCAGGGGATGGCATACCGTTTGCATGATGAGTCGGCAAAAAAATAGACAGAGAAAACTTAAGCTGTTAAGTGTAGGTGTAGCGACATTGATTTTCTAATGGACTTCATTTGACACGTTGAAGATTATATGATAAGGCGTAGAACTCTCTTCTGAAGAACAAACAACTTTGATCGATCACTAGCCATGCCTGTCTCTCCACTCTTGCATCCTTCCATCTCCACTGCTTACCACATTCTGCTGCGTGAATTCGGCAAGTGAGAGGCCCACAATAGGGAGAACATCAGAGCACCACCAGTTGCTTCCACTCACTACCACGGTGCTGGCTGTGACGTTGGCTGGAAAGGACGAATGTGAAAGCAGGGGAACACACCCAAAACAAACCTATTAGGTGTGTGTGCATAACATGGGTGGACAGTGGAAGTAGTTCGCAGGGGTGGAGACGATCCCAACATGTCATGCAAGAATAAGCGAAAGAAGCAGCGACCCTCCTGCAAACGAAGCCCAGGCAGCAGCACCTGGGTCGCAGGTGGGGAAGTTGTCAATGGTTGTGCTTGCAACGTAGTTGGGAGGACAGATGCAGGAGTAGGAGCCCTTGGCGTCGTTGATGCATGCGCCCACATAGCACGGGTTCTTCAAGTCAGACCCACACACATCCACTGCCAAGCGACACAAACACAATTGTGGAGCACAGCGTTAGGAGATATATGCGTTGGGAGCAATGGGAGAGTGAGGGGGTGGGGATTGGAGAGATAGAACTCCAAAAGGATGTAGACAGGGGCTTGCGTGAAAGAATATCTGAAGATCAAAGAAGCCCGTTGTTCTGAAAATGACCATTGTTCTGACAACGGACATGGATTCAAGTTATCATTTGAGAACCTGGATCGAACAACTTACAGTAAGCACATGTTTGGGAGCCATATCCGTTTGCAACCTGAACAAATGGCTGCTTAGACTCGTTGGGAATAGAACAGTCACACGAGTTGCTGTTGTTCCGTAGAATAGCCCGGCATGTGAACCGCCCACACGGGTTCATGCTGGGCTGCAGGTCACCATCGCCCTTGAAGCTCCTCTGGCCGCAAGGGTCCTTGGGGACTGGAGGGTGGTACAGACGAGAACGGGAGGAGTAGAAGCAGGTGCATATGCAGCTTCATTGGAATAGTTAGTGGGCAGGAATAGACAAGCCTTAGCAAAATGACAGATGTAAAATCTGGAAACAACTTACAATTTTGTGATTGACCACCTTACATTTGGGGACACCATTGGCTCACAGTCCATTCTCTCTGTTGACAATGCTTCTACCTCACTCTAATCCATAGCCAAAAACAAAAGCCATCCTCTAAACTAAACGTTGACTGAATGCTTCTTCTGTGTATTTCACCCTAACCCAAATATAGTTGATCATGTGATGTACTCAAAAGGTGGGATTTCCATACGGGGAGCGCGATGGGGGAAGCGGCCCCCCTCAAGACCACGAGGTAGATGCCTCACTCTTGACAATGGAATAGATGCCTCACTCTTGACTATGGGGTAGATGCCAGGCAGGACGTTGATGCCACACACGCCATCCCCTCCTTGAATGTCCATGCGCATGTGGCCCCGGTCACCCCACTCCACTCCCCACGAGTTACGGATGACCCAAAACGGAGGCGCAATTCGATTTTGGCTCCCGTCACTTCTTAAAACAAAGTAGCCAATAACGAGTACGACGTGGTTGAGTTTGCCTGTATAGCAGCCAGGATTCTGGTACTTGAAGGTCTGAAGAGAATGGGGGCACCGCAACAAACAACAAACAACCACTTCAGGCATTCAGCATAATGCGGGTAACAACTTGTGCACAACTCTGGGTTGGTTTTGAGGGATACAACTTAATGCGGGTAACAACTTCGGTACAGCTCTTGACAACTTGTGCACAGCATAGTGGGTCAAGGAAAGAAACACCCACCCCGTCATATTGTGCAAAATCCGGAGCAGAAGCTTCAAGATGAACCACCACTGGTTGTCGTCGCACTGCCAGCATGAGCCCCACAAACCCCTTGAACCTTGTGCGCTCAAAGCCGTGAATTGGGTACACCTTTTTCTGAAGATGAATATTTCAGAAAGGATTTTATAACAGATAGGAAGGAAGAGAAAGAAACATAAAGAAAGATGAAAGCGGCCAATCATAGCAAGCAGTATAATGAAGGGTGCATCACAGAATGAGTAGAATATACAATGTGTATCCATGTACGCTGCTGTCTGAATGTTTTATGGAATTTTAAGTCTGGCTCGGCCCTCGTCCTGCTCGGGGCAAGTCGGCCTAGGACGACCTTTGATTATGCTTGGTATTAGCTGTTTGCTACTTGCTGCCATAACATGGCCGCTTGGCCACTGTGTATGAAACTTCAGGCGCTCTTGTATGCTAACAGGACGTTAGTTCAATTCGGTTTGAGTTACAACCGTATATCACCAGTTGTAGTACAGTCGCAACCCTCGTATATCACAGTGGCTTTCGTCGACTCAGAGAGATCCTCGTATATCACCAGTTGTACAGTCGCAACCCTCTCAACATCAGGAACACCACACAAAGTTCCCAAATCTCATGAAAATCTACACACTCTAGTCTTTCACATCACCACACTACTTACAGGCGATCCAGCCTCCGTGACTCCACCGCGAGGCAGCATGAGAAGCCTTTCCAATGCCTCGGTGGGAGAGCCCCCCGTGCTGCACTTGTCAGCTTCGGAGGTGAGCCCCATGGCTGCAAAGAGTGACTCCACTGACAGCCGCGGCGCCTCTGCATTCATTGCAATGCCATATGCCGCTTCCACACTCGCCACCAGCGCAAACGCCCAACAAGCACCTGGATATGATGAAAACAGTTTCATAGATAATTGAAGCTGATGCGACGATGGTTGAAGAATGATGGAAACACGTATTGCGACGAGCATGGTACGATAATTGAAACTAGATGTGAGAAATGGGCGAACTCAAACGTGCTTGAGACACTTTCAAACACTTCTCCAACACCAACCAAACATGTTCGGGTTCGAATGAAACACCATTTCCAAAACGTGGTGTTCGACGTTCGCCTATGGGGGAGAACAGTTTGGTGTTCGACCCGAACACGAACATGTTCGGTTCGAGCAGTCCTCCCCCCTCCTCCATACCCCCTCCCCCCCAACTCCACAACTCTCCAACCCCCCTCCACATCCCTCCCCCCCCCCCCCCCCCCCCCCCCCCCACTCCACAGCCCCCCAACTCCCCTCCACAGCCCCGTCCAGGTCCTGCTCATTGAGACCCTCCCTTCCAGTGCTGTCGCACTTCATCCACAAACTGGACACTTCAAACACTCGAACATGTTTTATGTTCAACGTGCCTCGACACCAGCAATTAAACAATTGAACATGTTAACCCGGAACACTTGCATCATGTTTCGGTGGAACATTTTATGCCGAACACTTAAATGTTCGGTTGAGAAGAATTCCCCCCAAAAATACAGCTTTAAGATGTTTGTGTCGAGCCGAATAGGGGTTCACCCATTTGCTCACGTCTAGTTGAAACATGAAATTGACCAGCAGCATAACAGCAAACGGAAACACGCAGACTGTAGCAACCAATCAAGACACACCAACCAAGCTATCGGCTCTAACATAATTCTCCGGGTTCCCCAATGTTTTCACTCACTGCAGTCTTTTTGGTCTTTAACAGGCCAGCCAAGGAAGGGGACAGAGTCCCAGGAGTGGAAGTCACTGATGACCCACGAGTCCTGCTTGCTGGGCGCCACTCGGTAGTCCGCACTCACGTAGCGCGGGAAGGGGCTGGCCCTTGCTGGCATGTACGTGTTCGTTGATAGCTGCAGGCCATAGGCTGGGACGTGCTCCGGAGTTGCAGTACGGAGGAAAGAACGGGATGTGAAGTTGACAAGTTGTTACGAGAAGATCTTGAAGGAGGATAATGAATACAATGGGATGGGGTGCGTGCATTACCCTTACATTGCTGGGCTGCACCCCATATCTGATCACATGTGCATCTCATGTGGCCATTCTGCATCCATTTCACATCCACCAAACAAGCACTCTGTTGAGTGCTGATGCACCATTACTGATACTTCAGTAATGCGAGATTCAGGCCTCTCATAAAGAAAACGTTTCCCTAAATCGGAATAGCATAAACATTGTTGCTCAGTTTATCTTTTCCAGTTTGCTTGGGATTTAGGTGCACTGTGCTGAGCACCATCAACCACATGGTGTAGGTTATTCCTCCTGTTTGCACCTAATCTACTGAATGCATGCACATTCAAAATGAAGAACCTTAAAAAAAGTAAAAGAATGGTAAGGATAGTGGAAAGATAAACAAACTTGAGGGCAAACATTTGTACAAATATCAAGACGATTATAACAGTCAGTCAGTCACAACGCTTGCCTCTTTGTCCTTCTAACAGAGGTAATTGTGAGAGTCGCAGCAGAAGCATGGGAGACGATGTCTCACCTGGATTACGTGTGACTGGTAGGGAAGAAGCAGGAAGGCCTGAGAAGAAACGAAGCAATCAGAGCGAAGAAAAATGCCTTTTAAGGTTCAGAGATTGTGACTCATATTAGTTGTCACTTTCACATTGAATGTATTGGTCAAACCGCGCATCCACTTTCAGATAGAATGTATTGGACAAACCGTCCATCAATGCCCTCATGAGCACCAGCAGTACACTCACCTTCACCAGCACTGCCCTCATCTTCACCAACACTGCCCTCATCTTCACCAGCACAGCAACTATTTTTACCAGAACTACCCCCATCGTCACAACAGTTTACACCACCATCCACTCCCACGCTCGTTGCCACCTCCTTCACATCCTCCAGACCGCACCTCCAGTGTTGTTAACCACCATGCCAAGTTCATCGCCCTGCCAGCACACACTGCCTACCAGTAACCACTGTCGAATCAAGAATGACGTGCCGCTGAAACGGTTTCACAGTGGTGGACGCCACAAAGCCAAAGAAGAAGGCGGGCCGTTCGGGTGCACCCTGGAGCACCTCACACAGTGCCAGCCTCCTCTCCAGCACCGCCTGCTGCGGCTTCTCCTGCGAGTCAGCTAAGAAGACCTGGATGGTGCCCGGGTCCCCCGGCTCATAGTCCACCCACGCTGTGTACGCCTTCCTGCTGCACAAAGGGAAGGGTGACCTCACAGCGGCCAGCGACCTGTCCTCGCCTCGAATGTTCAGCCCTACATGCTGGCTGCTCATGTCGCCATGCTCCTTGTTCTGCAGCGTGTCAAACTCAACTGCCATGCTCCGCTTGTCCATTCCACCATACCCCACACCAGCGCCGCTCCCCACCCGGTCCGTTGCCGAGACGACAAAGGCAAAGCCGTTGAAGCCCACGCGGCCAGATCGAGGCGAGAGGGAGAAGGTGAAGTTGGCGTGGAAGGCGAGCTCCAGCCCACACCCTGACAGCGCCTGCCCTGCCTCGTACACAAACAGCGTCACCGGCGCTGCAGTGAAGTTCCCACTTGTCTCACGCTGCGTCCCCTTGGTGAGCACAGATGCTGGTGGGAGAGCCGGCTGGCTGGTCGAGTAATTTCTGTCCTGGCCTGCACAAACATAACAGAGGGACGGACAGGAGTGGGACATGCGTAAAAACATGAGCGAAGATGGAAGGAGCTCAAGGTTCTTTACTACTTCAGAAAATGGGTTGGAACAGATGGAGAGGGAATGGGGGGCAATCCCCAAGTAGATTGGCTGAAATCTTCAATTGGAGGGGCTGGAGATTTCAGCTGGTCACATCACAGTTGGGTTGGGTTGGGATATTGGTGTAACACTCAACCACGAAAACTCCAGGAAAACTACTATGCTAAAGTAGGGGATAAAAGTGAAGTACAAAAGTTCACATGGATGTCTATGTCTAACAATATGGAGGCATGAAAGGGTGAGACTTATGAAGGTCGAACAGATTTACAATCTACAAGCTACTAGAGTTCATGTGAGTTGGACGTCCCACAATTATGTGAATATGTCCGTGGTCATGTTTCATCGACTTCAGTGTCCCCTACCTTGGGCAACACAGCTGATCTTTCCAAATTGCACGAATCCCGCGTCGCATAGACATGTGGGTGCCAAGCTAGCTCCCTCTGGATAGCACACCCCATGTCCTCCACACGCAGCAGCAGCAGCATCAGCAGCAGAGGAGATGCCACAGAATGCATTGCATGCTGCCTCCTGCCGTTGCGGTACCAAGGTACAGCCAAGCGGCAGCGTGAAGCAGTTGGCATCAAAAGAGAGAGGCTGGCATGCCTCATCGGGCAGAGGGCCCGAGAGGAAGTTGCTGGAGAGATCTAGGATGCGTGCAGCAAGAGGCATCACTGCAGGTCCTGTGAGGTAGTTGTGGGAGAGGTCGCTGCAGGGGGGAGGGGTAGGTGCCGGGAGAAAGACGTATGGAGATCACCTCATTGCATCCAGACTTGCAAAGTGGAGTTCAAGGAGGGAAGGTGTGAGGGGTTGATGAGTAGCATGTGTATGAATGAGGGAGGAGAAGAGGACGGACACGGGAAAGCATAAAAGGAAAACAAGGAGTATGAGAAGCGGAGCCAAGGGGGAACAGGAGGTAAATAAGGAGGAGGCAGGCGAGATCCATATAATCGTATTGACGCATTGACGTGAAGAGGAAGAAGAGGCATATAAGGAAATGGTGGGCTGAGATGGGGAAGTAGGAGGTGAAGGCCGAAAACCAAACGCGTTTGCCCGAACGTCCCCGAACAGTTTAATAGGGCGATCCGAACATGTTCGGTTCGCCCCAACATTATTTTCACCTTTGGCATGTTTGGTGTTTGGTTAGTGTGGGCGAACATGTTTACTGTTCGCCGAACATCTACATGTTCGGCAAATTCCGAACATGCTTGGTGTTTGAAAATAAGGACTTCACAGATTCTGTGAATTAACAGGTTTCACCACCCCTGTTTCATGCAATTAAGTACAACAACACCTGCCCGTACATGTTTAGGGGGTGGGGAACACGGGGGAAGAGGGCAGGGCGAGTGGGAAAATCCCCAAAAAGCAACAGTCTTAGGAAACGACTAAGCAACGACTAATCAACCTAAGTTACCATAAGAAACCGTTAAGTTGGGTGGAAATGGGCTGGAAATGAGCCTAGTACTCCTTACTGCAGTGTACTTAACCTAAAAGCATAGATTAAGGTCGAAATGACCTCAATCTATGCTTTCCATAGGTCTTACATCCAACCAGCGCAACAAATGTCACGGTGTTTTTTTTTCTAACATCTAATGTTCGGAAAACCAGGGAAACTTCCCGAACATGTTCGTTGTTCGGAATTTTTCCCGATAGAACTTTTCAAACACTGAACATGTTTGGGGCAAACCCCGAACATGTCTGGGCGAACCTTTTTTACAAAAAAAGGGGGTAGAACATGTTCGACCCGAATGTGCTTGAGGTTTGGAAAAGTGCTCATGTCTACCAGAACCAGTCACATTCAAGAAATCATTACATTTTGTTTAGTTTTGGTTAGTGTTCAGTGTGCATTACCCTCACTTGAAGAATTCCGCCTCACTGCTTAAAACTGTTTTTGTTTTCCTGATCCTTGTGACCAGAGAGCATTCATGGCACGGCTGGTGCTGATGTTGGCTCGCTCACAGCATGATTTTGAGAGAACAGCGAGCATGGGTGCATGACTTGTTGTTGAGTGCGTACGAGAGGGAGAACGCCAGAGCATGCGGAAAGGAGTGAGGTAGTGTGTGGGTTGTACAAGTATATGAGCTGTGTGAGCTTGGTGATAGTGCTCGGTATGCTCCCATACAGCTCGTTGAAGGCAAGACTCCTAATGGCCATGGTGGGGAGATGGAAAAGGTTAGAGGAGGGCGACCGGAAAGATAAACGGGAAAATGAGGAGGGATGGAGACCAGGTTGGATAGGTGAGTGAGAGGAGATTGAAGAGCTTAGCAGACACGAACCGTGGCCAGAGGCGTGGTGGTGATATAGAAGAATGGTGCAATACTCGCATGCTAAATTGACATGCTAGACTCAGTTACATACTGGATTCATGTGCTGGATTCACTTGCTAAAATCATATACTAGATTCACTTGCTAGGTTCACTCGCTATCTGTACTTCTAGATTCATGTGCTTGATTCACTTGCTGAATTCCCTTACCAAATTCACTCCCTAGATTCACTTGCTAGATTTCTTTGCTAGATTCACTTTCTAGTTTCACACGCTAAATTTACAATAGATTTATGTGCAAGACTCACTATATAAATTCCCTTACCAGATTCACTTGCTAGACTCATTCGCTAAATTCACTCGCTGGATTAACTTGCTAGATTGATTTGCTGCCTGGTGGAAGTGTCTCCAGCGGTACACGACACACGAGATTCACGCCAACGCTGTAAGACAAAGCACCAAGAAGCCACACTGGGGCTCGCATGCTAGATGCATTTTGCAAAGGCATGATTTCCTAGAAATGCCATAGATTTAGGATTGACCAAGGACATGGTGTGAGGGCCAGAATTGCAGCCGCACGTGAGCTTACATGTAGTGTAGTTGGGAGAGTTCCCCAAGAGAGTCAGGAATCCTTCCACTCAAATGATTGCTCTGTAAAAACCTGTGCAGTGCACGTGCATGCAGAACACTGCTCTGGTAGCATACCCAACACAACAAACACATTCATACAATGAACTACAGTAGACATGCGCAACGAGTCGAGTATTTTGTAGGCTGTTTCCGAGAAATTACTCGATTTTGTCGAGTGGAGTATTTTATCGAGGTACTTGCGATTTACTTGTTTCCGTAAGCGTTTTACGAGTAATTACGTTACTTGCGAGTAATTTTAAACTCGCGAATATACGAGTACTGTATTACTCGATTTCGACACTGGAGGGGGGAGAGAGGTGGTGGGGGGGGGTTGGATTTGTAAAATTTGTACTTGCAGATCTGTTTCCCGCTCGAACTGGCAAGACTAATTGTGTTTGCAGATCAGTTTCTAACCACCCCTTATTCAGCTTTAGGGCACATCAACAAGTTTCCTAACTTTGGGGATGCAGCTCGAGCCTTGAGCCACGAATTACAACATTGGAAACGCAACTCCAGCTTGGAAATCACGTCTCCAGTTCGTAGAATCGCGGGTTCACTAGAGGGGGCGTTTCTTGACTGTGGGCGACTTGAGCACTCACAGGAGCGCTTCCACTCTCATACGCCTTCCACTCTTATGCACCTTCCACTCTCATACGCCTTCCACGCTTATGCACCTTCCACTCTCATGCACCTTGCTCAGTGTAGCAGAATGACAACACCGTACTTCCTACTTTTGGACGTACCTCTTCACTGTCACAGTCAGGGCTCAATCAGAGGTCAAAGTAATAGTAAGTTTGACCAGAAGAGTCGGGAGCAACCACATTTCTAGCAAACCATTTGACCCCTCACAATTTTGAAACTGCTGAGAGCCCTGTTATCGAGGAGGGCAAGGATCCTGACAGCATGTTGGAGCTGAGAGAGCTGTTGGTGGCAATGAGGGGAGAGATATGTTCGTGGCAAGAAGGGGAGATATCTGCTGGTGGGAAGGAGGGGAAAGAGCTGCTGGTGGCAAGGAACCAAAGTTTGTTGGTTGGGCTGGCCTGACCACCAACACTGGGTTGGCCACCAACCAACAGAGATGGTTGTTGATACTACTTGCCTTATATATCATCGTTCTCGAATCATGAACTAGGTATGACAAGATGATTATCTGAATTGCCAGGTGATTAATTATTGCACAGTGGCTAGTGTTGCTTCACAAAGAAGGATCATGGGCTAGGGCTGGATTGGCCACTGGAAAAACGAGAGGTAAAAAAGAAAGGGGGTATAAAGAGGTGGTCCAGAAGCCATGGCAGAAGGAACACGGCACTGGGGTTGAGTAGGCATGAGCAATCGGCCTGACCCCGCCCGACCCGTTCCCATCTGGCCTGACCCGACCGGGTCTGGGTCGGGCAGGTTCCCCCCGGGTACAATAATCCAGAATCCCGACCCAACCCGGTCTTATAGAGGTGGGTCGATAGGACCTAGGGATGAGCAAGGTGGCGAACACCTGTTCGGTTCGCCTCGAACGTGTTCGAGGCGAACCTAACAGGTTTTGTTTTTCAGCATAAATTGTTCGCCCGAACGTGTTCGAGTTTCGCAAGAACACGGTCGTGTTCGTGGCGCGCGCTACTGCAGAACGCCCCGTGGCGAACACGAACGTGTTCGAGGTTCGCCCGAACACGCCTCCACAGGCGAACAGCGAACACCTGTTTTTGCCTAAACTGTTCGCCGAACCAAACACTGTTCGGTTCGGCAAAAGAGGGTGTTCGAGATGGGGCGAACACGAACATGTTCGTGTTCGCCCTTTGCTCATCCCTAATAGGACCCGGGCCCGGATCGGGCTAACCAGGAGGGGGGTCGAAATACTCGCTTTTGCCCACCGATTTGCACAGACCGGCGATTCAATCTGTGCAGATTGGCGATTTTGTCACTGACCGAGCAAAGACAGGAACTCCCTCCTTCTCCCCAACAAGTTTGTTGACATGAGAATTGGCAACCAGCTCGCCACCGCTTACTACTCGTCACAGCACTGATTTCGACATTGAGCTCAACCCAACCGTAGCGCCAATCTTCAGCCCATAGCTCATAGCCCGCACACCAATCTTGATTTTTACGTGAGATTTACTAACTTAGTTCCGAAGTTCTAACAGTACTAGAAAGTCGCCTACTATGTGCCACTATCTAGACATGAGCAACGATCGAACTCGAACCCGTTTGACGCTAACACATTCAACATGCACCTTTGTCAAACCGAACTTGAACATACGGACTTTAACTTTTTTTTTCTAAAACCTATTAAGTTAGGGTAGAACACTAAGGTGTTAGACCTGAACAGACAGGTTCGAGTTTTGGGCTCCATTCAGAATTGCAGGTTGTTGTTGATGAACTCTTGAGATTCGATGGAACCATCCAGTGCGACATTTTTGTCGCACTGGTTGGGTCAAAATTTCAAAAACGGAAAGCCCCACCATGTACCCGCCAAACTCGCTATCACATCTACTAGGGCTTGCGAGAGGAGTTCAGATCTATCATGGCACTTACAGCAAACTCGCAACTTGAGATTCGATCACATTTCCAACTCGCGATTAGGTAAAGGGTGTTAATGTTAGCCCTCAATCTCACATTTGTACTTGTACTTTTTTTATATCCTAGTACTCTCTCCACCCCTACCTTGCCCATTTCCAATGTACTTAAAGAGCCTTGAGCTCATTACTAGTGTATGGATTCTAGGCTCAAGTTATAACATGGTATCAGAGCAATTCAACCGCACACGCGTATCATGATCCTCCTATCTCAACGGACTCTTGTCCTGCTTTCTTTGGTGTAGCCGCCATCAATCCCGTCGCTGGTGATTCGCGACTTCCTTGGCCGGAAATTTTCCCTCGCCACTCTCCCTTCCTTCTCGACGACTTTTGCAACTTCTCTGGTAAGCGCATCGTCGACGCTTTAACCAATCACATTTTTATACAATCTTCTTCGCTCCACTTCTTCTCGTCGGGCCGCCGCCCGTCGCCCTGCAGCTTCTCATCGGGCCGCCGCCCGTCGCCCTGCAGCTTCTCGTCGGGCCGCCGCCCGTCGCCCTGCATCTTCTCGTCGGGCTGCCGCCCGTCGCCCCACAACGGCACTTCGCAGCTGAACAGGTGCAGCCGCGCAGCTGAGCAGCCGTGTAGCAGTGAATCTAAGCAGCAGCGTAGCTGCGAAGCAGAGGGTGGTGTGTAGGGGGGTGTGTGAGAAAAAGGGTTAGCTACCGAAATCGGCTCATTTGACCTACCTTCATCGGCCTTAAACTTCCTTCTACGAGACATTCTGAAGCGGCCGACATTAAAACTTTTCGCTCTTCGCGTCCCTCCGATTTCTTCCTCCACATCCCAACCAAACCCAAATGTGATCTCCAAGCAATCTCCAACCGACCAATTGGAGATTGCCTTGGAATTACCCCCAATTTGCTAGGATTGCCCCTGATACGCTCTCCACCCCTACCTTGCCCATTTCCAATGTACTTAAAGAGCCTTGAGCTCATTACTAGTGTATGGATTCTAAGCTCAAGTTCTAACAAAGGGCTACGAGTTGCGAGCGCGAGTCCTTTACTTAAGTTAAATGCATTTGAAATCTCCTTAAAAATCTGTCAATTTCCGTTTCCTAGCCTTAACTACCCATAAGAAACACCATTCCTACTTGTTTCTAGGATTTGAACCATGAGAACGCCTAGCTAGGGCCTTTAAGTAGAGGAATGGCGTAACTTGACGACTGAGCTTGAAATATAGCTCAATCGTCATTAGTAAGGTAGGCTTGAGCAAAATAGAAAACAACTGTTCGGATCGTCATGAAGTTGAGGTTTGTAAATAAAGGTTCTTAAAAATTTACCAACAGTTGTTTCCCATACTCTTAAGGCTTCCATCACTACAAATCCATCATGACGCACTGGCATTATACTTAGTCAATATTAATCACATTTGAGCTCGAATGTTGACATTCGCAATACCTCTAACCACCATACTCACACCCGCGTTAAATTCAGCTACCCTAAACCTTTTTGTTTTAGGTTAGTTCTTCCGCTAACCATAGTATCTGTGTGTCTCCTATGGTTCGTTTTTGGTTTTCAGCTGGTATGACCATAATTTAACTTCACAGGAAAAACGGACCGCTTAGGTTCGATATCGAACTGGACCGGTTTGATCGAACCGGTTTGGTTCGTTAGTTATTTTAACCTTAGTGGAATATACGCGTATAGCATATATACGCGTATCGTATATATGCTAACGTATATACGCTAAACGCCGAAGGGTCGGCTTTGAGAATCCGCTTTTACGGGCAAAAAGAATGTTCCCGAGCAGGGTGACAAACAATGTCGTGCTCAACATCGGGAAGGTACATTCTCCTAAGTCTGAACTTCGACTAGGGTGGGATGTGTAGTAGACACTATCGCTAGAAGGAGAAGTAGGAATCGGGACGAGCTCTGTTGGGAAGCGGGAAATGTCGAGTACAGTTAGGCTGGCTGGTAAGTAGCGTGAGTGGGGTTTGTTGGGGGGACGTTTTTGACAGGTTGGATTTCGTAGATGGGATGGATTTCAATGCGGTACTAATCAAAATTGTAGATCTGAACTGCCAGACGCGATTGTAAGGCAATTCCCGCTTCCCTACAACCCCGAATTGCGCCTCGACTTCGGCGAAATGCTCACCAAGAGATTCCGCATCTTTCCATATACACACACATTTTTTTCCTGTGCAGCCCCTAGAGAAATATGAAAGCGTATAGCGTATTAGCTAGCGTATAGCGTTTTGCGTATGAACGCAAGCGTATATACGCTATACGCTTTAGGTTCTGAGCGTATATTCCCACTAAGATTTTAACGAACCACGATCATGGACCAAGCAAACTGGTTCTTGAACGAACCGGTTCGGCTCGGTAGTGAACCGGTTCGGTTACTTATAGAGTTTGGTCTTGGCACTGATTTCACCAATTTCGCCCAACCAGCTCACCCTGCCCAAGCCCCACCGTACCACAATGAACCTTCCAAACCCAATCTGCTCTCTCACTTCCATGCTGCAGCATCCACGCTAACCTAATCCTTGCGCGCTAGATCCTATTCGCCCAAACGTCCCCGAACAGTTGAATAGGGCGAAGCATATACATGGGCAGCGAGGGTAGGACAGAGTTAGAGCTCGAAATGAGTTCCAACTCTTTGTATTTTGGGGTATATTCGAACTTGCATGACCAAGGTCGGTATGTCGCGCCTCCGGACGAACTGTTTGAGTTCGAGGCAAACACTCAGGAGTTTGTGGAAAACCCTGAAGTGTTTGCTTGTGACGTCATCTTTGAAAAAATGGGTCGTGGAAAACAAAACACGTTTGGTTAGGGATGAGCAAGTGGCGAACACGAACGTGTTCGTGTTCGCCCCTACACGAACACCTTCGTTTGCCGAACCGCACACTGTTCGGTTCGGCGAACACTTTGAGCAAAAAATGGTGTTCGCCGTTCGCCTGTGAAGGCGTGTTCGGGCGAACCTCGAACACTGTTCGTGTTCGTCGCGGGCAAATTGCAGCAGCTGCCCGAACACGAACGTGTTCGGGCGAACATCGAACACTGTTCGGCGAACATTTTAAGCCAAAAAAAAAACCTGTTCGGTTCGCCTCGAACGTGTTCGAGGCGAACCGAACAGGTGTTCGTGTTTTTGCTCAACCCTACGTTTGGATTCCCTAAGGTAAGTGTTTGTCTGGGTTCGGCTATGGATTTCCGTTTTCAAAATTTTGATATAATCCGCATGCCAGTCAACACTTTTAGGCACATGCAAGTTTGAGCAAACGGCCCGGGCAAGGTTGGTTCATCCCGTTGCTCAAGTGGAAGAGGAACCAAGTTACAGGAAAGTAAGAGCAGTGAGCTTTGTGATCGAGGAGGGCAGAGATCCTGACAACATGTTGGCATTGAGAGAGCTGTTGGT